ATACTCCTGCGACAAGGACAGGCTGTTCTTGACTTGCCCACTGCACTTCCTTCTCCATTAAGAGGCCAGCACCCAAAGATAGTGCCGTAGCTATTCTCTGGACTCTGGCACCACTGTGGTCCCCTCCCTCACCTTTGTGAGAAGGCTCTCCAGCAGGTTCTCTTTTTACTGCAAGCCACTATCACGTGCCAACTCCATCCCATCTACTTGCATTCTGTACTTTATCCCACACACATTGTCTGGAACCAATAAAAGGTACATGGGAGAACTGAAAGCATTCTGCATGGATTGAAAAAATCGCATACATATGTAACCACAACAAAGATGAATTTAAAATGTAAAGAGTTATTCTTTTAAGCAGACACATGTACTTGAATGAGGTTACACTTCTTTCACTGGAAACAAATTGTATGCTAGCCTGCATTAGTTCGTAAGCAGTTTCTTCTAGGAGGCCCAGGCTCAAGGATCACATTCAAAACAGCACAAAAACCTGGGCTGGGTAGCTCTGGTATTGTTATTGGTGTTTTTCGTTTGTTTTGGTCATTCAGCTGCAATGGAAACTGTCTAGCTCCAAATGTCAGCTACTCCACACAGGTACAATCACAGGCCACTTTCAGTGATTAACTGGGGCTGAGTTAAGAGACCTAACCCTGCTGAACCTCAACATGAAATCTCTTTAGACCTGTGCAGCTCAACACAGCCAACTGGTTTCCCAAGGAACTCCATTCAGAGAGTGCCCCCGGGGAACAACCCTTTTATGTTCAGAGTAGACGTTAACAGCCGAGTAATTAAACACTGAAAGTAAGGGCTTATAATTAAAATGCTGACAAACCTGAACCAGAGTGGCACAAGTCAGCCGCTATAATGTTTTTACAATTCCTTTTTATACATAATGTATGATCCTTCTGCTCAAGTTTCCTCTATGTTCCTTGCCTGTGAAATAATTTACATTAATAAATAATTTATTACCATAACTCCTGAAGTAATTATGGGTTTTCATCAGTTTTTTTTTTTTTTTCCCTAAGCATATGAATTGTTTTGTTCTTTGGCCACTGACTTGTATTTACAAGATTTTTTTTCCTTGTGGCCTTTCGGGAATAATTGGTGTTGCCTTCTCTTTCTCACATTTTATGTGATTTCTAATCCCCTGGCCTGAGTGGTGAGAAAGATGGAATGTGTGGTGTCTACTATCCTGACGAAATAGGGCTCATTTAACGGCTGTGATTAGCCAAAGGTAATGAATGGGGCCTGTGCTCACTCCACTTGCCTTGTTTTATCAAAAAGAAAAAGAAGAAAATGAAAGAAAAGAAGCTGGCACACATGTAACGCCAAGCGAGCATGAAGTAGCATCTCTTGGAGGGTCCCAGGGTCCTAAGATTTCACATGCAGCCCCTGCTTCACCAAACCCAGGACGCCCTCCCACACTTCCTAAACCTGCCTGAAGTAGGTGTAAGGAACGGTGCTGCTCCCAGCCCAGATGGCAGGCTGGGAGCTGCCACTCAACTCATGTCATGAGTAGGTGCCTCCTGGAGAGAGCTGCCTGCATGGGAAATTCTGCCTCAGCACAGAGGTGGGTGGGGGAGATCTGGAGGTGAGAAAAGAACCCGATGTCTGCTAGAAGGAGCTGGCCTGGCACCCTCAGAAGGAACTTTCATCTGGGTACAAAGCCGGTGGACAGGCCTGGGCTCTATTTTGTCTTGAGTCTCCAGTCCACACCTAACCCAGATTTCTTCTCTCCCTCACTTTAGTGAAGCATAAAAATACTTTGTATCAAGTTCCCAAATTGAGGGAAGGGCGCAAAGATAGAAAGGGGTCTGTATCCTGTGCACAATCGCAAGAATGAGGCACTTTAAAAAAATAAAACAACCACTGATTGTTTCTACTTGATTCTACTATGCTGGATTATAAGTGGGCACCGAGGCAGCTCAGCCACCCACAAGGGTAGCATTCTGTGAAGAAGCAGAAACCCAGTGCTGTTCTCCGAGCCCTGGTGCTCCTGCTGGCTTTTCCTCCGAGAACCTAGGAAGCTCCCCACTCTGGTTCCCAGTTAGGACCCTGGAATGGGGTTAGGAGGGAAAACTCTGAGTCATAGACCTTTGTCTTCAGGAGCCTGGGATTGGATGATTATGATAATTGACATTTTATCTTTGCTCAGTATTGTCCAGCCCTGGAAGGGCCAAAAAACACTCTTGAAAAGTCTGGCCAGCTCCTCAGGGTGTTTTCTTCCCTGCTATTGAAAAGTGGGCACACCCAAGATGAAATCTCCCTGCCTTGGGTATACTCCTGGACTGCCACAGTGACCAAACAAGGCAAGGCCACAAACTTTGCCATTCTTGGAGTCAATGGGCTGAAGAGCTGATGGAAGCTACCAGCTGCAACTCACAGGGAAGTAGGTAGCCCTCTGATTGTTGAGATCCCTGGCTCAGCAGCTATTGAAAAGGGACAGATGGTGGGAGCACTTCCTACCCACAGCAGCTATGCTTTGCTGGAAGAAGAAATCAAGGAATGGGAAAATGGATTCTACCGCGCAATGGCTCTACAGGCCTCGCCAGTCTTGGCACATGGAATTTACTATTTATGGCTCCTGCTACTCCATTAGACATAAAGTTCCTTGTGTGCTAAGACAGGGTCCCTCTCATTCTGCCCAGAATTAAGTACCAGAACATGCTAAATGCTCAATGAAAATCTATGAGAACAAGCCCCTGAAACCACTTGTGAATGAAAGCCTTAGTAACACATGGGGCTCGGCTCTCCCGAATCAAGGAAAGCTGAGCAGCAGGCAGATGAGGGGCATGGAGCTAGAGAAGCACAGTGCACAGGCATGTTGCTGTTCCAACATCTTAGATGTTATGGCCTGTATCTCCTAGCTGAGTGGCAGGACTTCAGCACTGTTCTGCAGAAGTGTGAGACAGTGAGGCTGGGATAGGGCTTCCCAAGAGTCAACCTGTAAACAGTTTGGCCCTTCCTCCAAGCCCTGTGCTACCCTGGATAGAAAGCAGGCTGTGTGTTCCACATACTCAGACAGCCAGATGGTCCTGGACAACCTGGGCTGCTGATTACCTGCCTTCTTCCCCAGGCCTCTACTCTGGCCCCATGGACAACTCTGCCACTTGTACCCACCCCCAAGGAAGCTGCTGTGGTCCCTCTTTTGAGACACAAGGCCTCTTTTGAGGAACAGTATCTTTGGCTGAGGTCTCAGTCCTCTTTGCAACTATTTCTGTGGTGTGCTCTCCTGTGCCAATCTTTGTCACAAATGTTCTACCACACAGTCCTCACAACAAGCCCACAACTGCTGTGTTGCAGATGAGGAAACCGAAACTCAGAAGTTAAAAAGTTCAGCTCTACTGAGGCTCTGTCACAGACCAGACCCATTAGGATCAGCTTTACTATACAGAGCCACAGTGGAAGGCCAGGGAAGCCTACCAGAACACCCTTGCAATGGAAGGCCACCGTCCTCATGACACAGGTTCCTGGTTTGACTCTGTGGGAGCTAAGCCTGGGTTCACCATGACAAAGCAAGACAGCTCAGCTGTGAACCTGTTTCAGGATGCAAAAAGTGCAGGCTTCTGCATGGTGGTGGTGGTGGTGGTGGTGGTGGTGGTGGTGGTGAAGATGAAAGCCATTAACCACCAAAGAAGTATGCAGTCATGTGAGGATATGCCATAGAAAGGTGTTAGCCAGGTGACTTCCCTGTTTCAATGTCCTCTAGGTAGCAGTATCAAAAAAGACATCCAGCTTTTCCTGCACTATAGCATGTACTGAAGAGAAAATAATTGTCATTTTTTACTACCTGGTCTAATTTTATTTCTTAAGAGATCTTTCAGAGAGCCACTGGACCTGTTTCCCCTAGTATGAATAAGCACCTGACTGGCTCTGAAGCTGCAAACAAAGTATGTGGCAGTGTCAACGAGATGGACCTAGGTTCCCTGTGTACTCACGGACTTATCTATGGGAAGTGCCTTGAAAATAGAAAAAGAAGCCACGGGTCAGCTAGAAAGAAGAGTGATGGCAACGTCATATAGCCCTATAAGGTACTAAGTCTGAAATCCCACGCATGTACCCAATACAACCATCCTGTCTTCCTCTTACAAGAAACAGCATCATGTATGCACAGAAACATGAGACCAAGAAGCTTATTGGCAGGATATTTGCCATATAAACCAAGAGTCTTAAAAGAGTCTGTTGTCTTTAGTTCCTTTCTGGGACTACCCTAAGAAGTAAACAAAAGATAAAAACTCAGACTGAAACCCCTGGGCATTACAACTGAAAATTCAACAGCCCTTTTACCCCATGACTGTAAGAAGTACATCACCTGGGGCTGGAAAGATGTCTAAGTGGTTAGGAGCACTAACTGCTCCTAACCTCTTTCAGAGGACCTCCTAGGTTCAATTCCCAGCACCCACATGGCAGCTCACAACTGTTTGTAACTTCAGTTCCAGGGGATATAACATACTTTCACATCAATGAACATAAAATAAATTTAAATAAAAAACAAAAGAAAGAATCACATTGCCCAGGATATTTTAATGTACCCACACAGTGCAGTACTATACAGAATTAAGATGCATTCATCATTTGCATGCTGTAGTAATTACTGAGTGCAAAAACAAACAAAGTTTATGTAATTATATGTTCATGGTGGACTTGGCTATGTGAAATATGCAAAACACACGTACACACATGCATACACACACACAAAATATCACTGAGAACCAGAATTTAATGATTTTTACTTCCTATCCTATGGTATATTTTCTGCCTACAAAAGATCAGCATGAATTATTTAATAATCAGCTAAAACTCAATGCTGGAGTTAGAAATGGTGCCAATAAACCACACACCAGTGCCCTCACTCTCACGCCCAGCACCCTGTTGGTCCACCCGAGCCCACTGAGGACTGAAATAGTTAAAACACAGAAGAGAGTCTCTCCAGGACTACTCTGGAGTATCACCTGGCTGGAAGGACTAGAAGAGGATGCCCATGCTGTGTAGCTACTCACCCATAATTCCACAGGACAGAAGGGTAGGTCCTTGACTCATCTTCTTTGGCGTGTGCTGAAAACAACCAAGAGAGCTACTCAGTCTTCACGTCATCAGTAGTGTGTTCGCATATGACTCAGCTGCGCTCAAGACACTTTGAGCTCTTTCTGAAGTCACAGTTACAGGGGGTCTGCCCTTTGCTGGTATCAGGTTGAGACAACAACTGCACGGGACTGAGCCTGGACTTTGCCCCAAGGCCCAGAGTTACAGACCAAGCAGGCTAATGGGCTTGAGCCATACATCTGTGAGTCCTGACAAGAGGGACCCTCTCCACGGAGGGATATGGGAGAGGTTTGATGCAAAGATAGAATCAAACTTTACTGAGGGCTAGAAAGAAATTTGGAGAGGTGGCCTCCTAGGAGTGAGGAGCAATGGACCCTGTCCTACTCCCTGGTGGCTTCCCAGGGGATACAGAGACTGCACCCTCCACTACCCAGAAGTGAATGCTGGCTAATGCCCCACAGCTGCTCATGGCTAGAATGAAGCTGCCAGTCATTCTCCCTGAAGCATAAGACACTCACTGGTTCCATCAGGTCTCAACCTGAGAGTTATGGTTTTCAACTCCTGGGCACTATATACCACTGGGCTTTCCCCCTCCACTGTGAACATTTTCTGTCTTCCCTCACAATCCACACCTACCTCAGCTGAATACCAGATGAAAAAGAAGCCGAGAATGTATAGCCACACAGCAAGTTAAGCACAGAATATTCTGGGGGGTCTTGTGCTATCTGGCATCCAAGTCAAGTGGCCTACTCAGAAAGTGAGTGAGGAGCAGTCATCACAGTCAGGACCCCAAGAAGGTCTGACTCATGCATTCCAGAGACTGGCTGGCTACCTCACTCCCTCAGGTTCAGTTACAGTATACTCGGTATACAGGAACTGTGCTAGGGTTGATCGTGCAATGGGAAATAAAGTTCTGAGAGGAGCTCCAACCCCTACCACATGACAGAAAGAGGCAGGGTGAGAAGTGGGTGGGAGCCTGGGCTCTGGCTCATAAAGTCCCAGGAGGAGGGTGGGGCAGACTAGCAACTCCTGGCCCACCCAGATAAGGTGGCAGGCGCCTGGCACCAGCTTCTTCACCCCATCCCCAGTGCCCAATTTGGGGACCTTTGCTCTTGGTCAGCAGTGCATTTATCCCAAGGGGCTTAAAGGGCAGGATGGTCCTTCCCAGACTGAGGATAGAAAAGAAGAAGGGCTTAAACCTCAAAGAGGACACAGTCATACACACAACTCATTCTGTTACAGAGAGATGGGACTGGGGGGGGGGGCAGAGCATGTATGTTAAGGTGAATAGAGATCAGAGCCAGTTGCCAGAGGAACACCTGAGGCGGTGTTGATAGACAGGAAGGTTATTGATGACAGCCAGCCCCTTTCCAGGCCTCTTCTTGGCTTAAAACAATCCTTAATGTCACCAGGCCAGGTCACCCTCTGGTATGTAACTGTCTATAGCTACCCACTGAAATATCTAGAAAGAGTTAAAAAGAGCTATACCTGCTTCCATCTCATCTAACATGGCTAGTGCTGCAGGATGTGCAGCTGAAAGCCACACCAAAGTCACTCAATAGAGAACAGGTGACAAGCATAGAAGAGCCTGCCATCAGGGCTGTACCACCCACACAACCAAATGCAGAAGCCTACAGAATCCAGGCAGGCCCCTTATTCTGAGAAGGAATAGGGATTGCCTCCTGCTGAGAGAACAGGAAGGCTGGCACAGTGAGTGTGCACTACTAGCACACAGGTGTCACAAAGGAGGGCTTGGGGCTTCACATGCAGAAGCAGGAAGCAGAGTACAGCCACCTGCACTTTGCCCGTAGGGGAGAGCTGGGAGTGCAGGGCCAATGGAGGTTTGAATTGGCCCTGAGCACCTGCTTCTAAACCCTTCTCACCCTGGCCCTGACCTTTCTGGGCCTGATCCACACACTCTTCTACAGCCTTTGAGTTTTCCACCTTGATTCCAGTAGTATTCACTTTGTTTGAGCTGACTGTAAATGGCCCCTATTAAATGAAGAACCCTGGGGCTAGACATGGCTCAGCAGTTGAGAGCATTGGCTGTTCTTTCAGAGGACCAGGGTTCAATTCTAGCACCAAATTGGCTTACAACCATCTGTATCTCTAGTCCCAAGGAATCAATCTCACATTCGATTCTGGCCTCCATGGGACTAGGCATGTACATGATGTACACACATATATGCTGGAAAAACATCCATGCAAATAGAATTTAAAAAAGAATACAGAAAAACCTTGATTGGCTTCACGCTAGATCTCAAGCTAGGACCAGGGCCCTGTCTTGCTTTCCGAACCCTACTTCTGAAGTGAAGCAGAACTTCATAGGTACCAGAACATCTCATCCTTAGGTTCCTAGGGTTGAAGGACCAAGCATACCCTGGCCCCTGGTAGGTTTGCTTGGGAACATCACATGGGCAAAACAGCATCCAGGAATTTCTGGGTCCAAGCTGACACAAGCCTTCCTATTCCTAGTCTGCCAAGAACACAATAAAATTCCCACTGGCACATGCCATTCCAGCAGCCAGGCTTCTAACTCTTCAGATCCTCTATTCCCAGAGCAGGAAGAAAGGATAAGCGAATCCCTGTGCCAAGCCAAGGTCCAGCAGCCCCACAGGGACTCTGCTGTGAGGCCCCCTAAGACTTCCGGAATCTGCAAAAGAGTGAGCTCAACTGCAGGCTGAGGTCTGCAGGGAAGGAAGCCGAGAACATGTTTCCTCTTTGCATGCCTCCCTCTTTGTGCCTGAACCATCAGGGCTCAGTCTCAGTGAGACAATTCACGTCACAAGAGAAGTCTTTGGAAAGACAAAAGCTGGAAATCAAATTGAGGCTTCAGGGACCATCTGTCTAACTAAAGAAGGCCCTGACTTCAATAAAGACCCAATTAAGGCTCCAAAGGAGAAGCTAGCAAACAGAAAACACCAGGCCTTACCCATGGCTTTCACAACTTTTTTTAAAAGGTTACTGCCTAAAACAACTGAGCCACTTTTTCCTTTGCTAACACTGTACACAGGGAGCCAGTGTGAAGGGGAGATGCTCATACCACATACTGAGAAGAGGCACTGGAATCCAGGCCCAAGAAGATGAAGAGAGGCTGAGGAGGGAACAGTGCAATGAAGGGAAGCACTCAAAGATGATGGTGCAGCCCTATCTTCAAGGCTGAGAGGTGCACATGTCTACCCAGGGTGAAACCCACCAGATGTCTATGGGAATCAGAGACTCTGGCTGGATCTGTTGAGCCCAAAGACCAGGTTAGCCTAACAAGAAATATGAGAATTCCCTGTGCCTAGATAGCTGGACACAAGGCCTAATGTGGCTACCAACGTGAGACTAGGCAAATGCCTTAGCTCTAGCACTCTACCGTGGCAGCACAGAAGGCAGTGCCTCCTCTACTACTGACTGCATGGTTTGGGGCTAAGTAAGCAGTCTATAGTTATATACTGTCCTCTGCCCAGAGCGGCCACTTGTCTGTCTCCTCTGGCCTCCAGGGTTTAGAGTAGGCTGGGAGAGAAAGTTGGCCTGGCTGAAGGAGGTGGTTACTTTGGAAACAAGAACAGGCTCTTGGCCTGCATGTAGGCGGATGGGCAGGAGCTGGGGGAGTTCAGTGCTCCAGGGTCAAACATCTGGGCTGCTTTCCAGTGACAGTGGCTAATGTTAGAACATGAGAAGAAAAAGCCCTCTGGGCAGACTAAGGAAAGAGGACCAGGAACGGTCATGGCTACCTAGTGTGCAAGCCAAGGCTATGAGCATAGCCACATCCATACCTATCACTCCCAGAGAAGTGTGCGGTCCTGAGCCCAGAATATGCTAAGCAGTTGTCAGTTCTTGTTCTTTTTCCTGCACCTTCCTTGGGAGTAGGGACAGCCACCTTTGCCACCAGAATTAGGGTTCTGCTGCTTTGTTTTGAGACAGGTTCTCATGTTGCTCAGGATGGCCTCTAACTAGCTATGGAGCAAAAGCTGGCGTCCTGCTTCCACCTACCAAGGACTGCAATTACGGGTGTGTGCCACCAGTTCTTTATAAAGGAGGTGAGAGGGTGACTGGGAAAGGGCAGGGGCCACCACAGCTCTTCTTGTTCCTCACAGGACTCAGGAAAGAGGCTGGCGGAGCTCCTGGGTCCCCCCTTGGAGGGTCTAAGGAACTTGTACTTACAGTATATCAGACCTTCCCTCTTGTGACTAGGAGGAGCCCAAGGGCCATATAGCCACACCTCAGAAAGCTGTTCTTGCCCCCTCAAAGGCTCCCAGCCTCCCTAGAATCCTGTTTCCTTTTGAAATCTTAACCTCCGCTTTTGTTATCTTCTTGGTCTAATTATAAAACAAAAGAGAAACTGTTTCCCATCTTCTGTGTTAACTGGTAGCAGTTTGTGTGAGGATGATGTTACCAGAGTTGCATGTGAAGCAGGGCCTCAGCAACTTCCTTTGTTGCTCACAGGGAGGACTGGTTGGCCTCAGGCTCTGTTTCAGGGAGACCACCACTACTAGACTGACACGATTTGGATCTTCAGGTACTTACAGAACTCTTCTCCCTGAGGTGGCCAAGGCCTTCAGAAGCTTGGCCAGTGTAGAAAGAATTTTCTGAGCCACAGTTCCCATCTATTTAAGGGGCAGAGATGGATACACCTTTGCCTTTGCCTGAGCATCTACCATGCTACTCTCCACCACACTTTCTGTGGGCAACACTTGTGTTGAACCAGGCCCAGAATGTAACCAACAGTCAGTAAGTGAGATGTCAACAAACTCACAGACAAGAAGAACTCTCCAAAGAGGATACCCTCACCACTGACCTGCCATCTGGAGCAGAGGGGAGGAGACAGATGGCTCTGGGCCTAGATAGGCCAACAGCAAAGAGCAGAAGCAAGAAAGCTGCTCTCTGGAAGGGGAATTGAGATTGGAAGACAAAGCCTGGGCCTGGGAGCAAGAGTGCAGGCAGTGAGCCCTGAGGGAGGGATGAGTATGCCCCACACTTCTGTTCTAAGAAGACAATGCTCCTCCCCTAGGGGAAGGCACAAGACCATGTTCCTAAGCTGGGGCTCAGGAAGGGCTGCTTTCAAGACCTTGGGCCCTGGTGCTGGGAACCAACTCTGTGGCTAGCCTCAGCTAGTCCTACCTTGACACTAGACAGGCACAGAGGCAGCTGTGGGGGCCAACAATACAACAGAACCTTGGAAAGCGCAACCCTGGGGACCTCTGGACAGGCTCTCAGCCCAAGCCACTCTAGGCACCACCTTCAGATCCTTCCCCAAAAGATAGTCAATACTAGCAAAAAAGATAAGACAAGCATGACATATATGCATGATCCCTCAGCTACAAATTGAACAGAGGGACCAAAACAACAAGGTCAGAAGCCATGACAATGGACACCTGTGCACTCACTCTAACTGAACACCTGTTATGCAATAGGCCCTGGTTCCATGAAATGCCTGGCATTCATTAAGTGTCTGCCCTAGCACAAAGAGTCAATCACTTAATACACAAGACCCATAGGTAACCTGTTAAAAAGTGGTAAGAGCCAAAAAGGGACATCATGTGTGGCAAGAAGACAGAAAGTATGGGGGCAGGAAGGATTGAATTTTAGACTGAGTGGCCAAAGAAAGAAATAATCGTGTTAAGGGAAGAGTTGTAGGCTATAGAAGAAGTCCAAAGGTCCTGAGGCAGGTGCACAGCTGGCATCTCTGTGCTTGGAGGGAGGCAGTTTTGGCTGAATGGAGTAAGCAGTACTCATAGTACTCATGAGGCAGGAAGCCAGTGGAGGGTTCTGAGAAGATGGACAGACAAGACTGGTACTCTGCATGGCTGCTGGGTAGAGAAGAGGTTTTCAGTCAGAAGCAGAGGCCCAGTTACCATAAGAATCTACATGAGAGAGGCCAGCAGATAGGAGAGGGTGGCTGACAGGTAAGGGATAATGGTGAGAAGTGATCAAATTTAAGATACACATTATATGCAGATTGGAAGGAGGGTGTGATGGCTGAAGTAGCACCACTCCTGCTATAGCAACCCAGGTAGCCATCAACCAGGAACCTCAGCTGCTTCTCTCTGCTCTTTGTCTATAGTACTGGGGCACAGGGAATAGCCTCAGAGATAGGTGTCCCAACACCAGCCTGAGGGAGGAGGCCTAAACATGGGCCAACAAGTGGGGCTGATGGACAGAAATGAGCTGAGTAGGGGGGCAAGCCACGGAGTCAGTCCCTGCCCTGCTGCAGGTCTCAGATCTCAACTACATCTTTGGGAAATAAGATAGATTGGGCCCAGTGGTAAAGCCACTTCTATTTGGCCTGCAAAACCACACCCAGCACCCCAGTTCTGTGAGGCTCACCCTGATATGTTTAAAGCTCAGCCAGCCTCCTAGCACACCTGAATCTCAACAGGGTATCAGCTGTGAGTTGGCATTAATGGCTCTTGAAGGGTCATTGCATACTGTCTGTTTGGCAAAACCTTTCTCTAGACTGGGAACTACTCTAGACAAACAGGGCAAGGCTCAGCTCCAAGTCATGCTGGTTCCTCAACTCTGTTGGCCTATGCCTGTCCATGGGACAGGCACTTGTGAAGGCCCGTAGACTTCATGCAGGTCCTGGGCATTTCCCAAATTCACTGGAGCGAGGGGTTTCAGCCCACACAATAGTCACAAATGTGGTATTGGCCAACATGAGACAAGGAAAAGGAAGCCCACCAAAGGGCTGAATGTGAAGCCCACCACCATTTGGCCAGAGGGCAAGGAACTGAGCGATTCCAGAAGGGTGGTGACAAGACAGAAAGCCTACCATCGTTGAGTCAGAGGGTAGCTGCAGTGGCTATCACCACAGCCTGCCACCCTGCTGCCAAACCATTCTTTCTCCTTCATCTACCACATGACCCTTAGGCGGGGGCTCTCAACTTGCACCGCCCTTATCTTGGTCCCTCTCTGACAGCCCTCATCTTGGAAGCCAGGCGGCATGAAAGAAATGCTGGGCTCAGCTGAAGCCCTGGCATGACTCGCCTCCCCTCATTGAAGCAGCTCTAACCTGAGCCCAGCTGCTTGCTCCCTCAGATCCACACCGCCCCTCTGCCACATAGCCCCAGCCTAGAACCTCCCACAGAGCTCTGCTTTCCTACAAGTTGTTAAGTCTGGGTGCCACATCCACAGCCATACCACAAACCCTCCCTGCACACCTGGCCACAAAGGAGGAGGGAAAAATGCAGCCCTTGAGGGTCCTCACCAGTTCAGGGACGAAGGTCCTGTATGCTATGGAGTCAGCTCCCTGGATGATGAGGCTTCTCCTTAGGATCATCACCATGGTAAGGACCTCAGACACTGGGCTGCATCCTAGATTGGGCACAGGCCATCTTCAGGTGGGCAGACTTGATTAGTAGCGATACCTGGGCAACCCAGGGAGTGATGTCATCAGAAACAGCTTCCCATCAATTGCTCAGTCTGGGGACAAGGCCCTCAGGGAAGGGCCAAGAGTCGTCAACAACCTGGGAAGACAAAAGACAGCCAAAGGGGTTCAGGACTAGGAAAGCCTGGGATGCCAATGGTATAGATCAGCCCCAGTAGTGCAGGAGAGAGACCCCATGGGGAAGAAACCATACCCTTACTTTAAAAAATGTGCACTCTGGGAGGTTACCAAGACCCAGAATCACTTTTGAAGTAACTGTTATGAATCATAATGTAAATTTCTATGTTTTCTGATGGTCTTAGGCAACCCCTGTGAAAGGGCCTTTGGAGCCCCACAGGTTGAGAACCACTGGTTTATACAATGAATAATGCATACATAATTTGGATGTTAATAATGTATTTTCCTAGCAACATGCACAGAAGCTATTATGAACATAAGGAAGTTAAAACCAAGAAGAAGAGTATCTCAGACAATGTGCACACGTGTATACACACACACACACACACACACACACACACACACACACACACACACCAGCTAGTCTCAGAATATCCAATAGCCAAGGCTGAACAAAGTAACAAACTTGGATCCAGCCATGGGACACCTTCAAGACCTCAGGTTCTGAGGTGCTGGTAGTATGTGGTACCTGGTGATGTAGCATCTTACCACTGACTGAGCTGGCTTTGAGGGCACACTGAGCTCACACTAGGACAAGTTTAGACTGGCTAAGGATCAAATACTCTTCATCCTTACATCCAATATCAAAAGGGGCAGGGGATCCAGAGCTGGGCACTGGCTCATCTCATCCACCTAGTCGTGAACAAATGCTACTGACAAATCAGGAGGGTCTATTTAAGGACACATACCCCACTCTTAGCAGTGCCTCGATCCCACATAGTCACAACACTAGAGGCCTTTGTAGCTTTGTCCCTTTGCCCAGAGTGAACCAAACCAAGTGACCTACGAGCTAGTGCCCAGGCTGCCTTACTACTACCAAAGATCATCATGTTGCCTCCCTGTCTACCAGGTCCCACCAAGTGAAGCAGAAATCGCACAGGCTTCAGTGCACATAAGAAAAGCAACTCCTTACAAGGTGACTTCTCTGATCCCTGTTCCCCATCCCAACCCATCTATGGTTAACCCTTCAAAGAAAGTTACATGGATATGAGGCTCTGAAGGTCACCATCAAAACCTAAAAAGTAATGGTAATAACAGCAATAAATAAATAGAAATGCAGTTCCTAATCTGCAATTAAAAACAAACTGCTCAGTGTAGGAAAATGTTTTAGAAGCCACTGTGTAAAAATTAACTGTACCCTGGTATTTACTTCCCATCCAGCTTGTAAATCATAGTTTCCTGTTTATTTCAATTAGACTTTACAGTGGGTGCTGTTGAATCTGCTATTACAGGCCAGTTGGTGAGCACAGGAAAATGACCTTCTACCTTCTTCGAAAACAAGGTTCGTCCAAAGTGCAAAATCAGGGATGGGGAGGGGAGAGTCAACACATTTGTAAAGCTTGACTGTTCAGGAAAGGAGGCCCAGGGGGGTCAAGAGTCCTGGTGGTGCTGGGAAACCTGCTTCATGCTCCAAAACCACATCAGTCTACAAACCGTGCACCCCAACCAAGTGTGATGTGTTTAAGGAAGGAATGTCAAACCATTCCGCCTAGTTCTGGCTCAACAGCAGGGCCAGAAGTGCCCACTGGCCCCCTGCATACTTGGATCAGGAGCAGGCCCAGAGGGGTGCCCCTGGACTCGCCCTTCAAAGGGGCCTTTTGTGCTGCCTAGGCAGGGAAGGCCTGATGGCAGCCATCACCTTTCTGGGTGTGAGCTTAATTCAGTTCTAAAGCAGGCAGCCGTTGGCACGAGGCCTGGGAGGTAAGCTTCCCGCTTCCTTCTCTGAGGTGACCGGTAGGCTCACTGGTCACAAACACTGGCCCTGAGTTCAGCACATTTGGGTTGAAATCCCCACTCTTGAAACACATTATTTCTCTATGGGACTCAGTTTCTCTCTTGGTAAAAAAAGAAATAGTACTATTTGCCCTGAAGGTTACTGTATCCTAGAAAAGCAAAGTTGAAGCCCTTTGTTTAGTGCCTAGTTCATCTGAGAAATCACAGACAGTCTACAAAGATACTACTGTTAATTTATGCCTGGGAGTCGCAACGTTCTTTCCAGTAATGGATATCTGGGCAGTCATCCTCTCTAGTTTGCTTAAATTCCATCAGCAGGGGCCTGGCTGCCTTATAGCCCATCCCTCTGGTGAAACTGGGAGACTAGTAAGAGTGATGCTATGGAAATGTATTGCCATGGAAACATGACAGCCTATCTTGCCACAGCTCTACAAGGAGCTGCAAAGTGGACTGAGACAGCAATGGGTCTCCTGCTCTTTACAATTCCACCCCCACTATAGCCCCTACAAAGGACCAGAAGTGGCAGAGGCAGCACTAGGGTTGGAGCACTATAAGCACCTGAGTATCTGGGTAGTCAGTAAAGAACCATAGATCCGGAGAAGAAAGAAGTATGATACCCTCCCTGCCCCAGCAACTCTGAAAAGAGGCAGCACTGTACCTTCTGAGAGCAGAGGGAAGGGCAGTGGAGGGGAGGCTTAAAGGATCCTCTGCACAGGGGCCCAGAGCAGAACACCCTGGCTGCTCACTCACAAGGGACTGGTTAAATAGATTACAGCATAGCTATGTGACAGAATACTGTGTGGCCTTTAAAATGGTTCTAATGAAGCCATCAGAACATGATGTGGGGCATGGCACGCACATTGGCAGGCACACACAGGACACATGGAAGGCAACAGGACAAAGAGCTGGAAAGACCCGGAGCTCTGAAAGCCATTGAATGCAGACTTTATTCTACAACATGGTGGCTCCCAGAGGAGCTGTAGCTGGAACTGGCTTCTGGGATCTGCTGGAGAGTTTTTCTGGGCCCTTTTCATGGCCCAGCACAGTCCCTTGAGCAGAGTGTGAGCTCAGCACACACTTCTGGAATTAGGCTAAATCACTGTAGCTTCTGTAAGTCTGGATACATTCTCAGTCCTGGAAAGGCTAATCCATACCAGCAGAGCCTGGCACAATCTGGAGTTGCCTGGGATTCTTTTGACCAGTGGCACAGGTTTGACCAACCCCATCAAGGAATGCTGGCGCCTGCCCAGTGACCTAGGCCAGTGTAAGAAGACCTCTTTCCAGAGAAGGGAAAAGCACTGGGGGATTCCAGAAGGGTGAGTGACAAAACAGAAGCCTGGCAGTACCCTCTTAGAAGCTACCTCTTGAGCACAGGACCTGTTTGGCCTGGTTGGTTTTCTCTATAACCACATGAAGAACTGCTTCTATCTACTGAGCACTGCTGTGGTCTGTTCCAAGGATTCACCTGTTCGCAGTGTGGCCATGTTAAGGGGGTGTAGGGCATAGTAAGAGATCATCAACCAGGTCTTGTAGTGGCATTGTCCTTTAGTAGATGTCATGGGACTAGGTGAATTTTCTTTAAAAAAAAAAATTAAAAAACTGTTATAAAAGCACATGACTGGGCATACCCAGCCACTCTTGTCTTACCATGTGTTCTCTCCCTCTTACATATATTGTGACACCATCTGTCAGCACTTCAGAGCTGAGCCAATTCTTCAGCCATGGCGCGAACCCTTCCCTATTAATAAAAGTTTGTTCTTCATAACGTCACCCGTCTCAGTATTTTATCATAGCAGCAGAAAATGAACTAACATATCTGGTATGGTAGCTCATGTCTGTAATTCCAGCACTTGGGAGGTGGAAGCAGGAGCACCAAGAGTTCAAGACCAGCTTCAGTTACATCAGATCTTGCCTCAAACCAGCACCATCCCAAAATAAAATAGACTAATACCTACTAGTCACCTACTATGCTAGTAAAACTATGCTGGTTTACACACTTAGCTGTAAAATAGGCTCATCTACCCCCATTTCATAGCCAGAGGAAGCAGCTCACCAGTGTCTAGGCTGAAAGCTGGGATCTGACCACTGGAGGATCAGCCCCCACAAGCTCCTATCTTCCCCTGGCTGCCCACCTGTTCATTCCACACATGCGCTTCAGAAACCCACTTAGCACTACCACATGACCTAGCAATCAATCGCTTTCCTCAGCATTTACCTGAAAAAGTAAAACATGTTTACCCTGTGCACAAATGCCTTATTCATAACAGCCAGACCAGGAAACCAGCCGAACGTCCTTCACTGGTGAATGGTTAAACAGTGGCTCATCCATTCCAGGGAATACCACTCAGCAGTAAAAGGAGGAGCTAGGCATGTCCAAGAACTCAATGTCCCACCAAAGAACTATTCTGAGGGGAAAAAATGAATACCCTGGGGTTCAATTGCTATATGATATCATTTGTATTAAATTCTTGAAATGATAAAATTATGGAATTGAAGAATAGCAGTTGTCTGTAGTTTGGAAGATGGTGCTGTGAAAAAAAAAAAAAAAAAAAAAAAAAAAAAAAAAAAGCAATACAAGGTACACTGTGGAAGATGGGAGTGCTTTGACCTCCACTGTTCTATGTCTATTTCCTGTTTCTGATGTTGGGCTTACATCTTACAAGCTGTTACCATTGGAGGAAACAGTGAAAAACACCCACGCTTCTGTTTCATTTATTACAGTTGAATGAATATAAAACAACATAATTTTAAGCTAAAGTATTGTAGAGTATATGCACAGGACATGGTGCACGTGTGGAAATCAGAGGGCAACTTGCAAGAGTTGGCTCTCTCCTTCTACTGTGTGGGTTTTGGGAATCTACTGGGCCTGGTGGCAGGAACCTTAACCCACTGAACCCTCTCACTAGCTCCAAAACTAAAAATTTTAATTAAGCCAGGCAGTAGTGGCACATGCCTTTAATCCCAGCACTTTGGAGGCAGACGCAGGTGGTCTATAGAGCAAGTTCCAGGACAGCTAGAACTGTTACACAGAGAAACCCTGTCCCGAGA